GACATATGAGTGTGTATATACATATATAGAAAGAGAGATAGATGAGAAGAAATTTATTAGGGGAATTGGCTCGCACAATTATTTAGGCTGAGGAGTGCTGCGATAAGCTGTTTGTAAGCTGGAGAGCCAGGAGGCCTGTAGCATGGCTCAGTCTAAGTCTGAAGGCCTGAGAACCAGGCAGGCCAATGGTGTGACTCTGTCTGAAGCTGAGAGCCTGAGAACCTGGGAGGTGTGGGGGTGGAGGGTGGGAGAGCATTGGCACAAATCCTGGATTCCAAAGGCCAGAGAACCTGAAGTTCTGATATCCAAGGGCAGAAGAAGGGTGTCTCAGCTCCAGGAGAGTGAATTCACCTTTTCTCTTTTTGTTCTATTTGAGCTTCCAGCTGATTGGCTGGTTCCAACCCACACTGAGGTGGATCTTCCTTGCTCAGTCCACTGATTCAAATGCCAGTCTCTTCTGGAAACACTCTCACAGACACACCCAGAAATAACGCTTCACCAGCTATTTGGGCATCCCCCAATCCAGTCAAGTTGAACCTAAAATTAACCATCACAATATACTTACTAAAAATGTTTTTTGGGGGGTGGGAGAGAGGACTTCTATTTAAACATCAAATATATCTCACTAGAGATATTTTTAGATTACTTAAAATACTTACTCTCCATGTGCCTATACTGCCAATTTAGGCTTATTTGTTTGATTTTACTTTTACTTTTTAAAAGTTGTTTGCCTTTTTTTGGGGGGGGATTTAAGTTTTTATAATCATATAAGATATTTACGTTGTTCTAAAGTCAAGTGGCTGAAACAATATATATTCAGAAAAGTTTAGCTTTTATTACTCTCCCTTCCAACTATTTGTTCCTTTCTTCTATAAATAACATTACATTTTTTTTTGGTTTATCTTTCTTTCTTTCCTTTTTTTTTTGGGCATCTAGCCAGAAAAGAGATCTGAACCCTGTTTTTTAATATAATAATAAATATATTTACATATCCCCTCCCTTTATTGGATAAATAATAGCATATACTACATATGCTTTTCTCCAATGTGCTTTTTTATATTAATTATATTCTGGAGCTCATTCCAAAGCATAATATAGAACTCTTCATTCCTTACTACATCTGCATAGTACTCCATTGTGTGGACATAGCATTACTTATTCAATTGATCCTCTATTGACAAGCACTTAAATTGTTTCCAGTCTTTGCCATTGCAAATAGTATGGCAATGGATATCACTGTAAACTTCTGGATCAATAGATACATATGCAATTTTGCTACAGTGTAGGGTACTTCAAAATATCATGGAAAGATTCTTACTTTTTAATTCTATTTTTCTATGAACTTTGAAATATCCTCATATTGTCAGATTTCCCTCCACAAGGGCCATACTTTCTTTCATTCGGAGCAGCAACATATGAGTATATCTACCTTCTCACAGCCTTGGAAACAAAATACGTTGTTTGTGTCACTTTTTTTTAGCAGCTTTATTGTGGTATAATTTCTATATAGTACTGTAATTTCTATGTACAATAAAATTCACCCATTTTAAGTGCAGTTTGCATTTTTGTAAATTCACTCTTATACATTTGCATATTACAACAATCCAGTTTTAGAACTCTTCCATCACTTCAGTAAATTCTGTTGTGAGCACTTTAAATCGAATAGTTGGTGTAGATTTATTGAGGAGTGAGGGTAACAGAGATGGCATAAAATCTGGCCCCAAAATATGTGATAACATGTGGTCAGATCTCCTCCAGGGATTTTTTCCCCTTCATTTTTACTATTCCTTTAGATCCAAAGATGATACCTAAATTCTCTTTCTCCCCTCTCTCTGGCACTGTGATGGTTGGTTGGTTTTATGTGTCAATTTGGGCAGGCCATAGTACCCAGTTATCCAATTAAACATTAATCTAAATGCTGCTGTGGAGGTATTCTACAGATGGGGTTAACATCTACTCAGTTAACTTTAATTAAAGAAGATATCCTTAATAATCTGGTGAGTCTCATCCAATCAGTTGAAAAGCCTTAAGAGCAAAACTTATGTTTCCCTAACGAAGAAAAATATTTTGCCTTTGGACTGTAGCTTCAGCTCCTGCCAGAGAATTCCCAGTCTGCTCTACAGGTTTCTGATTTGCCAGCTTTCATACTCATGTAAGCCAATTCCTAGAAATAAGTCTGTTTACATACATAGGTAATGCATATCTTTATATATACATACATGTATACATTTGTATATACACGTCTGTATACATATGTATGTACACATATGTATACATATACGCTAGGGCACTTAAAGTTTGTGTTACAATAGAATGAAAAGATAATACAAATCTTTCCATGAACTTTTGGAAGTAGCCTTGTATAATCTCCAACTAGTTCTGTTTCTCTGGTAAAACCCTGACTAGTACAGGCACCTCACCACCACCCAACTCTAATTCAACCACCTGATAGTATAACCTTCCTGGGATTCTGGCTTCATGCGGATGTTTTCCAGACTATCCTCTCAGTTTTTACCGGCCTCATGTTTTTGTCTGTTATCTCCAGCATATGACCACCTCGGATAGGCAGGTGCCCCCATGGCAAATAGCAACACCAAATATGTTAGCTCTCTGGATTTTTACTTTCCTATTATCTATGACAATGATCTTCCTTCTTTTCCCTACAGTTTAACCAAGTATTTTAAAAGACGTTCCAAAAAATATTTTACCTGGAATTTTTAGTTCAATACTGAAAGACTCTTTGGACATTTAGTTCTCCATCTAACCATAAATGGATACCATCATATTCATCCTAATAAATATTTTGAGTTTTTCAGTAATATTTAGAGTATTCCAGTAATCTTCAAGCTTGGCATATAAAAAGACTTCTAAGTAGTAATATATTTTTAAGGGAATTGTTTCCAGATCTTTAAACTCCAAATACACCCTTTCTTAAAATTGATATGCTCGAGAATGTGGTCTGCTTGTTCTCCTTTCGCACCTTTCCTCATAATTGATTTTGCACTATTGGGCAAAAAAGGAGAGTAATTTCTCACCCATTCTGAATCTTATTTGTTGCTGTGGTTTGAATGTGTTCCCCAAATTTCGTATGTTGGAAACGTAAGCCCCAAATTCATATGTTGATTGGAGGTGGGGTCTTTGGGAGATAATTACTGTTAAATAAGATCATCAGGGTGGAGCCCCCATGATGGGACTTGTGGCTTTATAAGAAGAAGAAGAGAGAGTTGAGCTGGCATGCACACTCTTGCCTTCTCGCCATGTGATGCCCTTTGCCATGGTATGATGCAGCAAGAAGGCCCTCACCAGATGTTGGCCCCTTGATCTTGGACTTCCCAGCCTCCATAACTGTAAGAAATAAATTTCATTTCCTTATAAACTACGAAGTTTCAGGCATTCTGTTATAGCAATAGAAAATGGACTAAGATACTCATGCTTTGCTCTGTGGTTCACAAACCTTCTGGTTGGCAATGGATAATTTAAAAATGGATAGTTCCCGAAGAAGAGTTCCAAGAGGGCAGAGCAAAAGGAGCTGCTGTGCAAAAGTCTAAAGCAGCTAGTGCCTTGTTTCTTCCAGGGCACAGACTCCTAACAATGCTTCATACCTTCTATATTTACCTTAGAGTTAGAAATCAAAAGTGAAATTACTGTCATAGGTACATGTATTGACATTTTTATTTTCAAATCAAATTAAGACTTTTTCTAACAGAAAGTAAGTTTGATTTGACTCAGCTTGACAATGAAAACTGGTTTTGTCCTTCAAATTACAAGGCAGACATCTCCATACATTGAATGACCTAATGATGTAGCTTCAAGGTTGTGATGGAAAGTATATGTAAAGTACATGCAATACACAATATAACAGAAACGATATCTTTCCAACTACTTACATTTACGAATAAAAATAATATAGATGCCAAATTAAAAACATGAGGATGAGATGTATAATTTAAAAAGTTGTTTTAGGGCTAAGTAAAACAAGCTTGAAGACCATTGACATATACCATTTTTCTTTCTCTAACTTTTTTGTCTTTTTAAAATTGCTTTTACAATTACTGTTTCTTTAATTTATCATTTTATTAATAGATTTTGGAATTAATAGTTTTTTTTTTCCTTTTTTTATCTTTTTTACTGACCGGTAACGGGATCGCAACCCTCGGTGTCGCGCCCGCACCGGGGACCGGCAACGGGATCACAACCCTCGGTGCTGCGTCCGCACCGCGCTCAACCAGTGAGCGGGAACCGGTCTCCACATGGGATCCGAACCCTCGGAGGGAGCCGGCGCACTCTCCAGTGCGCCACCAGGCCGGCCCGGAATTAATAGTTTTTGATTTGTAAGACTTTTCAAATCTGTTTCATCTAGATGTAAACTATGAAAAGAAAACCAGAGGGACTGTCCAGTTAGCCAATACAGTAGAACTTTGGTTGAAAATTACTTTTGATTTTAAAGAGCCCTTAATAATTTAGTTTCAATCTCATTTAAATAACATGTACAAAGTGTTCATTTTAGCACTATCTGTAATGGCCAAAAACTGGACCAAATATCCAGACAAATTGTGTCATCTTCATACAAGGGAATATTATACAGCAATAAAAATGAATGAACTAATGCTATATATGATTTGTGCATGAATCGCACAACATAATGTTATGGATCCAAATGCACAAGTGCTTACTGTGTGTTTCCATTTTTATTAAGTTCAAAAACAGGCAAAAGTTATCTATGGTGATAAAACTCAGAACAGTGGTTACCTTTGGGGGGATAATGACTGAGTGATGGCAAAAAGGAGGCTGTTGAGGTGCTGCTGATGTTCTACATCTTGACCTGGGCTGCTGTTACATAGGTATGTTTGCTATGTAAAAATCTACCAAGCTGTATATGCTTTTGTGCACTTTTTTGAATGTATGATAAACTTTAGTAAAAGATTACTAAGACATAAAATAAAAAAGACCTTGTGCTTCTTGTTGCCAAAATAAAACCATGGCAAATATTTTGTTAAATATTCTATTTTACCCATCTTTTATTGTTGCTGATAATAGTGATGGTATTCAGGTGAACACTTTGTCACTTAGAATATCATTTAGCCTTAGCCTGTGCAGCCAATGCAGCTTCTTCACGCAACTTAGCTTTCTTTGCCAAGTTCCAGCTTGTTAAGGATTCATGTCGTTCTACGGCCTGCAAAACAACAAAGCAAAGCATTGTGACTTTGGAAGAATTTGTATGTTAGTTAGACATAAATAAGAGAGACTGTGTACAAAGGAAAGGAGAAATGTAACTTCAAAAAATCTATCACAAACAGTACCCCCCAAAAATGATCCTTGGATATGGAAAAAAAATTACTTAAGTTGCTAGACTTCCAGTCAACAGGATAGCTGATGTCAGAAATCTGCTCCCATCCTCTCTTGACATACATGGACATGTTTGTTGTATAAAACATAACAAAAATATTTTCAAATACTTAAGTGCAAAATCAAGAAAGGGAAATCCTTAGGTACCAGAAATGGAAGTAACTCAAGGCATGAATTGGTGGGAAATGGGAGTCTGAAGCCAGGATGGAAGGACATGGTTTCACTCGGGGGGGCATTTGGGAAAAATATTGGCCTTGTCTGCTATGGGCTGGGAGTCTAATTCCTACACAGGGATGAGTCCAGAATTTGGATCTTGAGCATGTAGCTGAGTACTTAGGAATACCTGCACTCCCATGTTCATTGCAGTTCTATTTACAATAGCCAAGATATGGAACCAACCTAAATGTCCATTAACAGATGACCGGATAAGGAAAATGTGGTATATATAAACCATGGCATACTACTCAGCCATAAAAAAGAATGAAGTTCTGCCATTTGCACCAACATGGAAGAGTCTGGAGAAAATTATGTTAAGTGAAATAAGCCAGGCACAGAAAGAGAAATACCGCATATTCTTACTTGTAAGTGGGAGCTAAGTAACAAAGAAAGAAAGAAAGTAAGACCATAATAAAACGTTGAACTTTCACAGGACAGAACAGACTTATAGTTACTAGAGGTGGAAAGGGGGAGGGATATGGGGAATGGGGAGTAATTGAATATAGGACACAAAAATTAATTGTGATTTATAATGATGAACATGCTAATAATATTGATTTGATCACCACATACTGATACAAATACTGATAGTCAACTCTGTACCTCATAAACATGTATAAACAAAATAAAAATTAAAAATTAAAGAAAAGATGGGAATATAAGATGGGAATTTAGAAACGTTCATCAAGGGTAATAAAAGTAATTTTCATTTATCAACTAAAAAAAAGAGAAAAGTGGAGGAATCAGGAAAGGGTACTCCTATGAAAAGACTAAAACTCCTCTTACCAGCACAGGGAAGTGTTAAAGAAAGTAGGCATTTATCTGAGAGAGAATTTGTCTGTGAAAAGCACAGATATTCAGCACCGTAATTAAGAGGTAAGAACTCTAGCTAGAAAATAGATCCAAGGAAACAATCTATACTCAGCATAGAGATAAAGACACAAGAAATAAAAAAGAGAAGGTAAGATACATGGAGAACAGAATTAGAAGTTCCAACATACGTTCATTATAGGAAGAGAGAACAGATAGGATGGGTGAAGGGGCCATATTTGAAGTTACGACAACTTAGAGTTTTTCAGAAGAGAGGAAAGCTGTAGGTCCTCAGACTGAAGAGCACACAAAGTCCTCAGTAAAATAAATCAAATTTAATAAATATTGATTGATATCTAATATGCATCTCATACTTAATAGAACTTGATATCTTTTGCCTCTCATGCCTGCCAGTTCTTTCCCCAGTCTTACACATCTCAATAAATGGCAGCATCAGCCACCTGATTGCTCAGGTCAAAAACCCAGGTGTTTTGGCTTCTTTATTACATTTTCTTTCCTGCTCCCACAATGAATTCACCAGAAAGTTTTATACATTTTACCTCCCCAAATATTTCAACTTGCTGCTAACCTTTTCTCTACTTGTCTGTCACAGTTACCTGCATTATTATTCAAAATGAAAAATGAATTGGAGAGAGGTAAGAAGACAGCAGTGAGACCATTTGGAAGATACTGCAATAAACCAGGCAATAGATTTTGGTATCTCAGAAGAGATACTGAGGAGTGGCCCAATTGGGGATATATTTGGAAAGTGGAGCCAACAGGATTACTGATATATGACTTACTCATGAGCAGTTGGAAGGAGAGAGTTGACATCAACTGAGATGAGAAAAACGGAGTATGGAAAAAAGGGTGGCTCAGGGTTGTTTCGGGGAAGACCCAGAGTTCAATTTTTGACATGCTAAGTTTGAGATATCCTTAGACACACAATGGGAAATGCTAAGTAAGCAATTGGCTATATGACTCTGAAGTTCAGGAGACAGATAATAGCTAAGATGTAAACTTGAAAGTCATTGGAATATTGAGGGAATTTAAATCCATAAAACCTTATAAGACTTCCAAGGGAGTAAGTATGGATAGAGAAGGAAGACTAAAGGCTGATCTATTTGGGGCATTTCACTATTATGAAGTCCAGGAGAACAGGAGGAACAAGCAGAGGATGCTCAGAAGGAGTGGCCAACAGAGAAACTATGGGAGTGTGGTACCATGGAAGACAAGTGAAGAAAATGCTTCTGAAGGAGAAAAGACTTAGATTCCCAATGCTCTCATTTCACAGCTTCTGAGGACTTTCATGGAAGGACAATGGCTGGTTTACATTCTCCAACAAAAAGCAAGTAAAAAATGTCACATTGGCCTATTTCAGTGTTTTATATATTCATGCACCCATTTATAACTAATTATCTCCCCATGTGCCAAAAATATTCCTTTCTTAGTTGCAGAATGGAGAGGCTGGCTACCCATGTGCCAGAATTCCTGTAGAAGGGTGGTCTACATTGAGGTGTAGGTAGAACAAGTCCCCTTATGGCCCTGATATTCTCAATTTAGACATGCTTTCAGCAGTTCCAGTGGACTGAAATGAGACTGAGTAGATGTGAGGGAGGGAAGGATATTGATTCGGTAGAAGAAAATATTTGCTAACCAAGCAAAATTGTCAACTGTCTCCCCAAAATGTAATGAGTCATATCAGTACCCAAACATACAAACACAGTGTCAAGATTAATGAGTCTAAATAAATGGCATCCAAAATAGGGTGGGAACTACAGTCAGTGTTCACTGAGGTAAATGAGGTACTATTAGAACATTTAATCTTAAAAAGAAAGAAAAACTGCTAACGTTTAATAGAGGAGTTGAGAAATAGAGGACCCTGTCTCTGTCAGGAGGTGTAGGTATCCTGAGGAACCTGTGACAGAAGAATATATTAATTTTCAGCACCGTTAAATGCATGAATGAGAATGGCTACTTTTTTGCCAGAAAATGACATGGAATCTTTAAATATTTATATGCCATTTTAGTCTGTTTGTGTTGCTATAACAGAATTACCTGAGACTGGGTAATTTATAAAGAAAAGAGGCTTATTTGGCTTACAATTCTGGGACAGCTGCATCTGGCATGGACCTCAGGCTGTTTCTACTCATGGCGGAAAAGCGGCAGGCAGCCGGTGGGTACAAGCAGATCACATGGGTGTGTGTGTGTGTGTGTGTGTGTGTGTGTGTGTGTGTGTGTGAGAGAGAGAGAGAGAGAGAGAGAGAAGGATCTGCCCCATAAGTCAGTTTCCAACACTGCCACATTGGAGATCAAATTTCCCATGAGTTTTGGAGGGGACAACACATCCAAACTCCATCATATGCATAATTTTGTAAGGTTAAAACATTTGAGGGCTTGTCATTCCCAGTTTGGAAAAGATTATTCTAAAGTGCTATTATAAGTAAACCATTAAAGGGCGATCCTAAGTTATCTAATTAATGTTTGTCTTTTTTCTTGTAGAAGAAGCAATATACTTATCATTAAAATATCCCTAGAAACTCGAGAATTTGGTGAGTAGTCATTTATCTAGGTTAGGTTAAAAACGAGATGATCAAATTTCCTTATTTACATGTTTGAGTGATCAGCCCAGTAAGCATTTAAAAAACAATCACAGCAACTATATGAGGGTACTTCAAAAAGTTCATGGAAAAATAGAATTAAAAGATTATATGAATTTCTTCATGAACTTTTTGAAGACCCCTCATATTAGCCATTGTGTTTGGCGTGTTTGCTTCCCCTTTTCAGGGTTTTGATTTTCTATTTCAATTTTAAAAGCTTTTTTATGCTTGAATATAGAAGGTTTCAAATTCTTTTTGGAAGGAGGTTGGGTGTAAACAAACAAAACTTTATTAGGTGGGAGACACAGGGAATAATTGCAATTTGTGGTAATGGGCATGCTGATAGTATTAATCTGGCCATCATATCTTGGGCACAAGTGGTAATGGTCAGCTTTGTACTCCATGAATATGCATAACCAATAAAATAAAAAAAATAAAAAAACTTTATAACAAACTTCCCATTTGATAAGAACAATTTCAAAGCCTAGGTTCCTTTCCAAGCTGATAGAAATGAATGGACATTTATATAACATTAGTAAGCTTCTAGATCCTACTCCCTGTGTGAAGTTAGTGGGCTCAGACACACTTGTGAACCAGAGAAGTAAAGGACAGAATCACAGGATTATGCAGAATAGTAATTGGCTTAAAATGCCCAGAGATGTATGGGTGGCTCCAGGTCTCAAAGATGAAGTTGTTCTTACATTAAAGAATAGCAATAGTCCCTGAATTGAGAACAAAGTCCCTACAGTTCTTAAAATTCACAAGTCTATCTTTATTTTAAGGAGGTACTCACCCTTTTGGCTGATGCTATCACTGCAAAGCAGGCAATAATTGTGAGTCCAATCATTATGTAACAAACTTTCACTCGAGCCTTGTTTCTTGCAGCATCTATCATTTCTGGCCTAAACCAAGATGTGTATTTTGTTAATTATATTAAAATAATATGGTTTTCTGACAGGGATGATAGGTAATGATTTGCAATGTAAATAGTTCAAAATTTTCCTCAAATACAAACTGAAGATGTGAAAGACTTCCAAATGCTAGCCCATTATCCTATCAATTTCAAGTCCACAGGTATTCATTCAGAACTTTAATGTTAGCCACTATGAAACAAGAGTGTAGTATATTTAGTCTCTAGCTGCTCAAAATAACCATCTTTTTATGTTATATTGTTAGAGAAAAGGTGTTTCCTTCATGGCTTTTGCAGGACGTTTTCAAATGAAGTGATCAAAATCACAATAATTTCTCAAAGGAAAAAAACGAAAGAAACCTTCATTTTCTTGTTATCCTGTTTTTTTCTTTTCTTTTTTTTTTTTTTTTGGCAGCTGGCTGGTGTTGGGATATGAACCCTTGCCACTGGTGTTACAAGGCTGAGCTCTAAACAACTGAGCTAACCAGCCAGCTCCTCTTGTTATTATTCTGAAAGTTTATATGCTTACTTGAGTATTGGGTAGTCTTATTTATTAATAAAGTTATATGCAAATTGTCTAAGATTTTAGCAATATTGCAAAGTAGTGTTACAAAAGCAACCATGCCTTTGGGGCTTTTATATTAAAATAAATTTTAATAATTTGCAATAATATGAAGATGCAGTTTATAAATATGCATAATTAAAGCACTTAATTATTGAAAATGTATTTAGCTTCATTCTTTCCTATTTAATGTCAAGTTTAAATAGAGTGTTATTACATTAAAAAAAATCCCAGAAAGACAAGATGCAATTTCTCTTAAAAATGAAAATTTTTTTAACTTTTTCTGTAGTTGAAAGACCATAGAAAACCAATATCTAGCCTATTTTCCTCAGATTTTAGGCAGAATAATGTACGTTTTAAGATGTCAGCTGCAAACAGGTTCAATTAGTGACTATGGAGACATTATTAGATTATATTTGTTGCTAAATTTTGTTCCAGATGGAACGTAAAAGATATCTCTTTTACCCATCCATCTGGCTTTGATCTGTTATACCAAATTCGTTTAGCACTGAAAAAGTACAGTTGTTATTAAATATAATTAGCATATGGTACAAAAATTATAGGTCGTTTGTTAATTATATGGCCATTAAGAGCATAAAAAGTGAAATCTATTTATATTGTAAGTCTAACACTTAGCTTACCAGCAATATTCTTCTTAAATAGCAATGTTTAAAAAAAAGATTTTATAAAGTAATAAAATGAAAAATATTCAAATGCTTTTATGTTTTCATCCCAAAGCTACAATGCTTTTTATAGGCATCTTCTTCATAGTTAAAATGCTCATGTTTAAAATTCTCCTTTTAACTGTGGTCCTGGGGAAATTAAATTATTTCTGTAAAATGGGTCTCTTCATAAATACAGCTGCATTAATGAAATACTGGGAATAGGTTCTCTGGACAAACATTAATTTACAATAATGCTGGTTCTTTACATTCTTGGTTATTCTTTTATGGCACTAGAATCAAAATCCAAACAGAGTGGTGTTTTATTTTTGATTTTGTTTATGTTCTTTTTACTTCTTCATTTGACATTTAAAGTATTAAATTCTCAGACATCAATTAAAGTTTGATAACCAGAGCTTGTGATGATAAAGACTTTGCTGGGGCTAATTTCTGCTTTGGGCTAAGTCTGTAGTTTGGAGTCTATAGATCTCAAGGAAAACAGATTTTGTTTTACAATATCAGAAAATGTCTCTGTAGTTGAATAAATTCTGAAAGCAGATTTCAAATGCCTGTTATTTCAAATTCCATGTCTATTCCTTGTTAAGTAACTCGATCCAAGAAAGGAACAAAAATGCCTCAGAATTCATTATTGAGTGTAAATTTCCCACCACATCTGCTTCCCTATCCCCATTTATTTGAGATGCTTTTGGTAACTGGTAGACTAATAAGTAAAAAACTGCGGGTAATACGTGAAGACCAAGATGTAGGTCTAGTTTCCCTTATCCATTCTAATAGGCACTCATTAACCCTTTGCACTGAACAAATATAATATACAGAATACCTGAAATCCATATTTGACATTAGGGTTTTAGTCTTTCCTTTTTTTTTTTTTTTTTTTTTTCCTTTTAAGATCAGTTTTAAAACGACTAGATTGATTTTATTCTTAGTTCACTCCCCTTTCTTTTTACCCACTTCTTTGTAAAAGTGCTTCTAAGGTTTTGGGGTTTGGCATAATCTCAAACTGCAGAAAGATTTTTTTACAGGTTATATTTACTTTAATAGGATACATTACTACCTTGGAGGTGAACTGTTACCTCGAGTTTTATCATTTAGCGAACCTCTCTTGGTGGGTTCAGGATCAGAAGAGGCCGACCATGCCAATGCTCCCGCGCGTCCCAAACAGAGTAAACCCAATGCCCAGAGGCCTGCAGAACCGCATCCGCCAGGCGCCTCCCGCCCCAGAAGAGGAGGCCACGTGGATGCGGCTTCTTCCCAGAGACCCTCCAGCCGCTCCACGCACCACGATCAGGGGACCCCTTCCTTGGGTGGAGCAATGGGCCGCCTCTGGGCCAAAGCCCCAATCCCTCTCCTGCGCCCAAGCAGCCACCCTGGGTGCCCGCGGGGACTGTGTCTTCCGTTTGGCCTGAGTCTCCACTGCCTCTCGCGCTCGGAACTCTCTGGGGACGGGAATCTGGGCGATGGTGGAAGTGCCCACTGAACTTGTGTGTTTTCACCCAACTTCTGCACTGTCCCTGTCAGCTGGCCCACTGTCCAATCAAGGAACTTGACATACACCCGCAGTTGGGGGGTGTAGGTGAACTCCTCGTGGTGGTGGGTGCTACTGGGAAGAGCTGTGCGGCACGCGGCCGCCTTCGCTCCAGTGTGCGCTGCGGTCGGGCGCTGGCCGGACCCCGCACCCTCGCTCGACTCTCCCGGCACGCCCCGGCCGGCCGCAACACCCGCCACACTTACGGGACCCAAGGCGGGATCTCGTCCATCGATTTGAAACGTCCGGTCCACAGCAGGATTTTCTTGTCGAATTGCGAAGGCCTGTGCTGGGTGGGTACCCTGTGAACCTTCCCTGCTGCGAAAGCGACAGAGGTGGACGGGGGAACGGACAGACCCACGGCACGGTGGATCAGCGCGCGCTCCAGCCTAGACTTCCAGCCCCGGCCCCTCGCCCGTTCTTCCGCAGCCTCCTCCCTTCCTGGCCCTTCCTGCCCCAGCCCAGGCTCACCTTGATCTGAGGGCGCAGAGCCGTTGGTGGCCCCGCCGCTGGAGTAGCGGAGGAGACCCCAGGGCGGGAGAGGCGGTGAGGACCGCGGCGCGGCTCCTAGAGGAGCCCCCGACGGGCCGCGGACGAAGCGCCCCAGGCCGAGGCGCAGGAGGCTGCCGGCGGCCGTGAGCATGCTGCGCGCTTTCCCCGCGCCCGCACCCGCACTCACGGTCAGAGCCCGAGAGCACCCCGTCCCCAGCCCGCCCCGTCTCGCCCCGCCCCGGCTTCTCGCGCCAGCGGAGCCCGGGACTCGCCGCTGGAACCTTCGGCGCGCGCACACTCAGCATCTGGTCCCCGACCCCCGTCGGCGACCCCTGACTGTGGCGTAAAGGCCCTAGGGACTGATTCCCCAGGGAGGCCTAGACGCGCAGGCTCACTACCTCCTGAGACGGCTGTCGTGCAGCTCGTTTTAAACGTACTTGTTTATTTTGTATTGAGTAGAAATGTGTTTCCAGCAGACTTTTTAGCTTTTTGGTTCCACTGTTTGTTACCCAGGAGAATAAATTTAAACCCTCTCCACCAGGAAGAGACATCAGTCCTTCAAGTGCAGGAACCTTCAAACATTTACCAAGTATAAGAACATTCAACAAACGTCTGATTTTTCCATGAAGAAGTTTTTTGAAGTTAGCTCCTCACCCCACCCCTCCTCATACTTTTTTCTAGGTAACAATCTCAGTTCCTACAGCTGTTTTTACTTAAGTCTTCACTTCTAAGCCCACAAACTGTCCAAACTCCCTTCAAAATGAGCCTTTCTTCTGTCACCTTCCACGATCCCCCCTCTGCTAAAAGGGGGGAGGATCTGCTATTCTCTGACATTAAATGGGAACAGGGACTCAGACTCAGTGGGTGCAGGGAAAGGGGTTATACAAAAGCCCTCGACTTTGAAAGAATTGACTTTTTGTATTCCACAGACAACAGACATAAGCCGGGCAAAAGTGCTTATCAGCACCAGTCCCAGGCCCAGCTCACCTCCTCGCCTGTTATCTTTCATGTCTAGACACTGCCTTACACGTGTAGTTGGATTTCCAGATATTCTTCTTCCTAACTAGACTGTCAGGCTCTTGAAGCAAGATCTTCTTGGTAACTCCCAAAGGAGTGTCTTTCACATAACTGTTTAACAAAAGAGGACAGATTAATAGCTCTGTAAAGCATGGGCTTTGCCTTCACATCTAGGTGTAAATCCCAGATTTGTGGCTTAAGAGTTGCACAATCATAAATAAACTAAGTTATGTCTCAGTCCTATTTCTAAAACCAGAATTCCTACCTTTTGGGTCCCTTCATGCAATGGCTACCATAAGCATACAATGTGACAGCTACTTCTCAGAGCTGGGAACAGAGCAGTGGCAATGTCAGGCAGTGATTAGTTGATGAAGAAAAATAAAGCAAAAATTTTAAAAAGTAAGCAAGGGTGGTGTGGGGAGCTATTTAGAAAAGATGGTTGAGGATGCCCCTCTAGATGTGGCTGGCACATAGTAACACTTCAAAAGACGTGGTTTCTTGACCTTCACATACTTTTACATTCCCTGTAGGAAGATTTCATGAATTAAAATGCCCCTCTGAGCTCCTTGACCTTAAGGATTTGTTATTAGATTCCCAGGATATAGCTGAAAAATTGGCACTTAGCAGATTTAATAAGTATTTTTTAAATAAATGAATAGATAAATGCAAAAATAAATGAATAGATGAATGCAAGTCTTCCAAAATAGGGTAGACATCTGGGCTAGTTCGAGAAAAGACTAAAGTACCTGAGTACAATCTATGGATCTTTCAACTTTATATCTTCAGTCTCTATCATACTGCCTGGCACATAGCAGTCTCCAAATAAATATTTATGAAACTGAGCTGAATGAATGCCTGCCTGAGAAAGTATGTTGCCATAGATAATATCTGATTGTTCCAGCACTGTGGTACTTGAAAATTTTCTCATTATTAAAATGTTTTTTTTCTTTTAATTTTTTATTTGTATTCATGTCACTGAGAGGGAATATTCATAGAGCTAGAGAAAATCATCTCCGAGAAACAACCGACCATTAATAGTTCATCAAGAAATACTGAACTAGTTAAATAGGTTTATTTTCCTGGAGAGAACCAAATGTCATGCATATACACATGATTTTCTATCTCAAGCTTCTCTAGTATTGCAGAACTACAGGGCAAGAGAATAAGGGCTCAGATCATGAGAGAAAGAACAATTTGCATTCTATTCTCTGTCCCTGATGGGATTAAAATATTACTATTTGGCAGGGGTGTACATAAATTACTTACAGCTGCATAAGAGATGTTTTCTTTAGTTCTAGATTTAGAACAAGTTTTTAAAAAAGTTGAATCAACTTCTAATAGAAGAAAACACTAATTGTATTCCTCTATTTCCTTTTTTAATCAGGACAGCAGATTTACTCATTAAACAAATATTTATTGAGTGCTTCCTATGTGCTGTACACTGTTCTAGTCTGGGCAGTTATAGCAGGTAACCAAATGAAAGTCTGCCTCTCACAGAACTTGTTATTATCTATGGAGGTTTCAGTTTACACATTCCATTCTGCTATGTTGTTTTTCAATCCAAAAGTTCATGTAATTTTTTTGAATATGCTATTTTCAGTATTGTTCCTTCAAGACTTGTTTTTTATTAGTATGGTTTACGTTTCTATTTCCTACAGATAATTTAGTTACTTCTTAAGGTACACCGTTATAACTAGGAATAGATTTTAAATAAAATAATTACGTAGCCTGAATGGAGAGTGCGGGTAAGTTTTGTTGTTGTTATTGTTGAAAGCTGTGCTGGGCTAAGGCAGAGGATGCAAATATATAGCTGCAAAGCTGCCCCTGAGGAACTCCCAGCCTGGCTGGGAGGATCTTCTCTAACCAGGAAATGTCCTGCTCCCAAGGGAGGGTCTGGGAGAGACCTTAACCAACTTGCTTTCCAATCCTCTACTAGTCTCTCTGTAGGAAAAGGTTTAAGTGGCAGTTTACTTGCAGACCCAACTCACAGTGGTGTCCAGTGTTTTGGGCAACCTTATCAAGTGGGTGGTCTGGGTGAGGGCCCGATTACCACTAGGCACTAAGTATGTGCTTAGGACACCAGCAACAGAAGGTGCACCAAATAAATAAGGGAGTGTTTTGAAATTATTCTGACATGTAGAACTTCAGAAGAAAAAAATTCTCATGGGAACATCAGAAGTTTATTGAATGTCCTCATGCTTATTTACTGAATATATATTTGCGTAAGAGTTGGGGAAAGCCGTAACATTTTCAGCACTGAGGACACTAAAACTCTTAACTTGGCCTGGGTTCTTAAAGCCAGGGCTGATGATAACATCAAAACCTGGTGTGGTTGTGATCTATTTTTTTTTTTTTTTGTCTTTTTCCGTGTCCGGCAACGGATCGCAACCCCCAGTGCCACCCCCGTACCGGACCAGGACCGGCAACAGGATCGCAGCCCTCGGCGTTGCTCCCGCGCCTCGCTCAGCCAGTGAGCGGGAACCGGTCTGTATGTGGGATCCGAACCCTCGGCGGGAGCGCCGCCGCGCTTCCCAAGCGGCGCACTATAGCAGTGCGCCACCGGGCCGGCCCGTTGTGATCTATTAAAAAACATAAATTAGATCATCTCTCTATTCTGGTAAAACCTTCCAGTGGTTTCACATTTACTTAGAATAAAATCGAACCTCTTGGTCTACAGGGCCCTATGTGACCTAGCCCTGCTCCAAGCTCAACGCTGACCATTCTCTCCCTTTCCCACATGTTCCAGTCACACTGGTCTTCTCTGAGTTTCTCAAACAGGCTGAGCTTGCTGTCATTGGGGCTGCCTTTGTGTTTGTTCTTGCATCGTGTACTCGCCTTCTCATTCTTTAGGTCTCAGTATAGCTGTCGTCTCCTCACAGAAGCTTGTCCTGTCCATCCTAGCAAAAGTAGCCCACCCCTGCTCCCACCCCTGCTCCCACCCCTACTTCCATAGTGCTCAGAGTCATCCTCTAAATTGTTACCTTGTTTTCTCTTTGACAGTTGTCATTCTCTGAATGTTTCTATGTATGATCTGTCTCTGCTACAAGAGTGCACTCTCATGACCAGGGTAACCCTACCTGTCTGGAGACATCACAGTATGGTCAGGATATAGTACAGTGCCTAGCACACTTGCAGGTTCTCAAATATATATTCGATAAAGGAAAGAAAGAAAGAATGAATGAATGAATGAATGATAGATATCACCTGATTTCATTCCAACAAGCTTCTCAAAAAAAGAAGCATACTCTTAACTGCCTCCATTTTGTCTTTTTTATACTCATGCCTCAATCCTCGGCAGTTTGGCTCTTTACCCTATAGCTCTGCTTGAATGAGATCTCAAAAACCATCAGTTTGGATTGAAACCATCTGGGCAAATGAGATCAAAAACCATCAGTGAGCCCCTAGTTATGGATCTTCACGTTACTCCTCTTGATTTCCACTTTCACTGCTGTAGTTCAGTCTTTTATCTCCCAAATGTCTTGTTCTAATGACTTCCAAAGTATTTTTCCTATCTCTGGTTAATTCATTCTCCAGTCCTTTCACTGCATGGCCTCTAGAGCTAGCTTTCCAAAATATGGACGTAATCACACAAAACATTCAAGGTGCCAACCTCTTTCCTAATCCTTCTCTAACCCTGCACCCCACTTTCCTACCTACAGACTACAAAACAGCCCCCCCCCCAAAAGTTATAATGAGACAGAGAGGACTCTTTCAAAGTCTCTTGCTTTGATATTTTGTATGGTCTGATCCAAATTCTCTGTCCTTGTCATATCCCTAGACACTTAAAATGTCACTGACCACAGGTAGGTAGGTCACATTTAATACTCTATGCTGCTAAGAGTGATGCACAACAGCTATCAACTATCATCTCAGTTAGTGCTGGCTTAGAGTGCTGGGTTAGTAAACACTGTGTGTGTGACCCGTGCTCATCACGCTGGGTTGATTGAGTTGCTTGTTCTCTCATCATTCTAAACATTACTCTGAGAAATGCTTTCAGAAGAAAGCAGGTTGGATTAACTGCTTCTGCAGAGAAGAATGATTCAAAACCTTTTATATTTTCCACAATACATAGCTTTTATTTGTTCTAGGAATAGCAAATCTGAAATGCACGCACATTTATGAAGGGCAGTTTATACAAACTGCCCCCTA